GACGAGGAAGCTCACTAGCTAATAGCTCCATTTTCACAGGGACGATGGGATTCTTGGGCTTCTTTTTCAGAGGCCATTTGTAATTTGTAAAGAAAATTGTCTCTCCCCCCAAAGCACCCAGTGCTCTGTTTGTTTCTGTATATTCATTGGAAAACTAACTCCATGAGGAGCCTTTTATTTATTATTATTTTTATTGGTCTCCCATGAAGTAGGAAAACTTACTTAATTAGGAAACGTTAAATTAGCAGAAACATTGAGATTTGAAACACGGAGGAAGCAGATACCTTGGCTAGCTTCGTGTCCTTTTATGTATGTGCACTGATGTTGACTCGGAACATGTTATACATATATATATTCATCCCACACATGCAAACTACATAATATATATTGATCTTCCTCAAAATGCCGGAGATACTGCTGTGTTGAAAACTCCATTTGATTTGATCGCATATACTGCAATTCCTCCCGAGCTGTGGTCCTTTGTTTATATCCCCTTCTACGGCACGTGGGTCATTTATGTTCCCTCACTTTGCCCCGTCATCTCTGTGCTATAGAAATTGCAACGAAACTGTGCTTGTATTTTATCTCACAGTTTGAAACTCTGAATCTGAAGTGGTAGTCAAGTAAAGCAATCAGATTATTATTGTTTTTTTTTTTTTTGAACAAAATGGAATGATGATGTGTGGCACTAGGAGAGGTTGAACATGGTCCCCAAAAGAAGGGTTGAAAATGGAAGCAACTGTGACGGGGTTGACTGGCGAGGAAGAGTCATATCTGAGGAGAACATATTCAAGAAAACATGGAAGTATAGAAGCGATGCATAATATCATCAAACATTCTCCTAAACCACCGACCAACCAAAAAAGGTTGTAAAAATCTTTGGTTATTTTACACTTAACAACTGAGCTGGCGACCTCAAATCAAGGACAGCTAGCTTGCAAAGGACTAGATCTTATACATATCTTCTAGTAAGAATCCAATCAACGGAAAGCAATCGCCTGTCTAATGTGGATGGATTGGAGTCCTCGACATTTGACGCACAACTGTATTTAATAAGAAATAGAAAGAATAGAAAGAAATTTTCCACGCTTTCATTCTTTTATAGCTTACCTCTCGTGATCGTATAATATGGTAAAAGGGATCTGAATTCACTCGACACTGACAGTGATAGCACCAAATTCACGAAAGGTGTCGTATTATTGGATCCTTGCCACACTTGGAGCAGACCACGATGTTGATTCTGAAAAAAGCCCTTTGGTTGGGAACTGGGAATGGAACGAAGCCCATATACCACTGTGTTAGCCCATACAAGATATTTTGGACCCGCCTTACATGAACTAAGAAAACTTAGCAAGAACCCAGATTAATGTGGACAAAGCGTTGATGGATCCTTTGAAACGATGGGGAGTTCCTCTTAAATTAAAAGAATCCCTTGCCATTTGACCTAGGCGAGGGGTAGTTACAGTACAAGAATTCCTTCTGTCTGTCGTCTGGCTCCAAATCTTGGTTGAAAATCGGTTCGGTTTGGCTCTCACAGGGAAAAATGGCCTCGCTTCGCGGTTATTTATAAAATTATCATTATAACATCAAATAGATAGATAAATTTAAATTGTTAAAATTTAAGTTCAACAGTTTAGGTATAAATTTTGGCCTAAAAAATTTAGAATTATACTGAAAAATTACAACAACATATAATATTTGTTTTTATTTTATTGATTGTGACAAATGTCCATCTATCAGGGATAATTTTGTTTGAAATATAGTTGATAACTAGATATAGACACATTTCTTAACAAGTCAAACATTGATTCATTACATTATAATAAACTAATTCATTCTGTTAAACTCAACTCTCATTTTAAATTGTACAAGTCATTTTTTTTAATTTTTTCAATATATTTTTAAACTGTTGAGGTTAAATTTTATATCCGGACTATTTATGTCAAATTTTAATAGTTTAAATTTATTTATTTATTTAATATGATAATAATAATAATTTTATAATATTTATTTATTATTATAATGACAACTTGTTGTTTCGGAAAAAACGAACGTGGCCGTTTTTTCCTGCTGAGCACGGTAGTCCGAAACCGTTGGAAATGGGTTCTACAATCATGGGCCGAAATAAACAAATAAATATATAAATAAAAGATTTTTAGGCAGCATTTGTATTGATAGATTTAGATCTGAATTTTAGAATTAAAATCTTATATTTAAAATTTATAAATTTAAAATTTTTTGTTTTGGTAGCTTGAAAGTTTTCAAATAAAGAAGAAAGATAAATTAAATTCATAATTAAAATAGAAAATTAAAAATGAGTAAATGAAAATTTTATTTTTATTTTTTAATTGATAAGAGATAAGAAAAGATGTGAAAGCTATAAAGGTGTTAATAGTAAAAATGTAAAAAAAATAAAATACTTAAAATAATTAAAATTTTGAGTGATTAGAGTGTAGAAGGAATTTTAAATTATAAAGAGGTTATAATTTAAAATAAATTTAGATTTTACCAAAATTTAAATTCAAATTTATAAATATTTGTGTATCTAAAAAAAAATTAATTTAAATAAAAATTTAAATTTAAATCTTCATTAATCCAAACACACAGTTAATTAATTTACATTCTTGAAAAATTAGTTAGCATTATTTAAAAATACACATTTTTATATTTATTTCATTTTACGCATTGTCTCGACTCTCAGTTAAAATTTTTTATTGACTATATTCCTTAATTAAAGACATTTTTGAAAAAAATTATTATTTATATTCCTTAATTTTGAAAAAAATTATTAATCATAGTTTAGAATGTGAAAAACGTCATGATACTTTAAAAAACACATTATAAGCATGGACGTAGGAGTATTCATTTATAACAACAATCACCAGTTTTTACCCAAAAAAAAAAAAGGGTAACGTTTCTCAGTGTATTGAAGGATAGTATCAGAAATTTCATCCCGAAAATAATGTATGATGAGAAGATGGAATCTGATTGACATCTGTTAGACTCAGAAGCGTGTTGCAAACTTCAAGAGTACCTCTACGGGTGCACTAGTCCTTAAAAATCAAATAAAAACAAACTATAAACAAAAATATACTTGTAATTCAACGCCTTCATACAAAATTTTTAATTTGATTATTTATTTTTATAAAGTATTTCTAATATTCCAATCCTAATACTATTAGTCTCGTTAAAAAAAATAACAATACTGTAATTTTATTTGCTTACAAGGGATTCCCAAATATGGACACATTAAATTTAGCGTTAAAAATGATTAAATTAAAATAATTATTTATAATATCTTAGGTCAAATCATAGCTATAGTCAACCACATTGCTAGATCCCCCCTTTTGTTTTTACCACTCTGATGTAATTCCATGTCTTTGTTTTTAATACTTCCATGTACTCCTTTAATTTTTATATGTATAAAAAAATTATATCACACATTTTAAAAAAATAATTAATTATAATAGTTATGTTTTAAAATAAAAAAATTCAATGAAAATATCCTGTATTAATTAAAATAAATATGTATTAATTATTTATTGTTAATATAAATTATGATGGGTGATTTAAAAAATATGTAATAAATGCTTGTTGAAATAGATAATTTTTTTTTATAAAAAATACAAATAAAAAGTGATAATTTATCTAATAATAAAAAAATGGAGGAATAATTCCTTGGCTGGCCATTGCTTTGCTTACTGTACAGTTTATCTTAGTAATAGTTTGAACTATCATTTCCACTAATAATAAAAAAATACAATATTAGCAGTTTCTGTTGATGCAATTAACAAGGTTACAATTCATAAACTGAAAAAACTCTTTATAAGATTAAGATGTCAGATTGAAATAGAGAATCAAAATTGCATTTTTAGTATTTTACTTATATGCAAATACACGGGAATGTATCTTATGAAACTGAGAACATGTGAATTTTATAAATTTTATTTTTTAAAATAGAAAGTGAAGATTTTAAATTTTACAAACAATAATAAATTAAGAAAAATATTAATAAGATAAAACTTTGCATGGAAAGATTTTTTTTTTTTTGGTGAGTCACATGTATCCAACTATTGATTTGATTATCAATAAAAAAATCTTCTGAATGAAAATCATATTTAAAGCACCATTAAATATTAAATGTAAATATATTTTTTAATAAGAATTCAAACTATAATCCATTATATTATTAGAAAGACTCGTTTCATATACACAGTACGAGTGGCGGGGGAGTATCTCGTCCAATGTCGGATTCTATTTCGCCCAAAATAAGAGGTTCAGTCAATTCTAATCCTTTTTTAAATTTGAAGCATTTGGGCTCGACCCAAGCTAAGTTAGCAGGGCAAGCTCAACAAATTTGTTACACCCAGTCAAGCACCGATCAATTATCCAAGCCCTCGAACCATTCATGCCATACTGCGTGAGCTAAAAAATGCTAATGAAGACACATGTACAATATAAATCATAAATTAATTTTTCGATTACTAATTTAGTACTGTTTTTATTATCATTTTTACAAATTTATCCTTTTTATCCAATAACATGATATATTTTTAGGGTATCTAATGATTTTTCATACTTCAACTGGCCGATTTAAATCCAACAGCATTTAATAAATCTTACTTTTTTTTTTTGGGCTACGAAATGCAATTTGAAAATATTGTGAGGAATAAATCCTGGAAAAGAAGTAATTTCTTCTTTATTTTTCCTTCTCGGTATGATATATTACCTGCTTTTGTTGGTCCAAATCATATCCATTTTATCAATGATCACAAATAATATTCACATGTTTTACAGCTAATTGATATATTGTACCGCAAACCTTGTTCGAGCCATCTCAAATCATTGCTTTCAAGATTCCTTTTGTGCGAGAATTTTGAGTGTCAATAACCTCGAAAATTCGTGTAAAGCTTTAGCTAGTTGCACTGATGGGCATTTGGAAGCTAATGGTCAAACCTTATTCATGCACAAAAAAATGCTATTCCTTTTTCGACAAAAAAAAAATGGTATTCATTTCATATCTATTGGAATTAAATGCAAAAGTTACTTGATATCTAAGACATTATTATAACAAGCATAATGAAACCAAACCCAGCTCCATTCTGATCTAAGAATAAAAAACTGTAACCCTTAGGAGATCTTCAAACAAACCTAGTCATGACTAATATCTCTGTCCTTGCTCTTCTTAATCGTGATGGACAAGCAGAAGCATTCTGTGAGGTCATATTGTGGAACTGTGCATTCCTCCGATTGAACCATCACCGTGTGGTGGAGGGTTTATTTATCCGTTGCAACCCAGTACTGCTTCACAGCAAACAACACCTTCTCTGAAACATGAGGGCCATCCTCATGATCCACCATTTGAGTATTCCATCTCATCCCTTTCACCAGTCTTCCCACCTGTATCAGCACATTCACATTATCTCTGAATATCACTGCTCCTTCTGGCCTTAATATACGGTCCATCTCTAGCAGGATCTCTTCTGCATTGCACCTGTATTCACTATCTCAGTCAGAAAAAAAACCCCATTTTATTCATTGATCATGAAAAATATCAATTCCTCGTCGGTTTTAAAAGTTCATACTTATCCTTGTACAAGCTGAAAATGCCATTTGCATGGATAAGGTCGTATGTCCTAGGATATGTAGAGAAGGCTTCACACCTAGCAGAACATACCAGATGAGAAGTCTGTATGATACCCATGATTTGATCTGTCTGACATTTCATTGATGATTGAAACAGTATATAGCCCATTTCATAAACTCACCAGTCATGATAAATGCCAATCAATCCACGCTCAAATATAACACCGAGGGTATCTTTCTCAGCAATGGTAGGGATAACGTTCATGACCCACAATTTGGAAGATTCAAGGGCAGCAGCAAAACTGCCGAGGCCAGCGTTCATGTCCATGATGTTTCTGTACCTACCCGAGTCAATGATTTTATTGATTTGTTTGTAAGCCTGAACATGTTTGGTCCATATTTTGTCGTCTTCATTGTACATTTCCACGGATACACCGTCAACGGACCCGCTAGATAATCTGGCAGGAACAGCATTGAGCCTCTCTGGGAATGGCTTCCATGAATCACTGCCTTTAGGTGAAGGAGTCACACAGTTCTCCATCTTCTTGTACCTGGACACAATGACAGAAAGTTCAGACAAAAATATTTTGAATTACTGGATTTCTGAAATGCTTAAGCATCTCAAGAGAGAAACATACCAGACGTCCGGTGAAGATTCACAAATTGTTGGTTGAGAACTTTGTCCACGACATTCATCAGAATTTAATCTTTTTCTCCATACAGCAATTTCACCCATTTCGTGTTTCTTTTCCCAGCAGAGAAGTTTAGCCATTTCTTCAATCTTCCTCTGCTCCTCTTCAAGTTCTTCTGCAGGACGCGCCCATGCTTGATGGTTATTCTTCCAATTTATTGGAGGACCAGAAAGCACCCAGTAACCACCAGGCCTAAGAATTCGATCCACTTCCATCATGTATAATCCGTCTGTGCATTTTTTCAATCCAACAATCAATGGAATATAATTTTCAAAACATAAATATGACAAATTATAGCAAAAGAAAAATCAAAATTATATATATTGATCTCACCATTTCCTCCCCATGGAATCAAACACCTGGAACAATGAGCCATGTCATATGATCCAGCAGGGAAAGGTAGCTTTATGGTTCCTAGAACTCCAATGATTGCTGGAACACCTCTTTCCAAAGCAAATTGAACTTGCGCTTCATGAGAGTCCCTTGGCGCAATTGACATTGTAATCACATTCTTCTTAAACAAGTATGCACCCAAACTAGCAACCTACGGCACCACGACCATCATTCATTGAAAAACTAGGCTGTAATAAACAAACAGAATGCTCGGTGTGTACAATTTTCACCATGAGATCTCATATCGGAGAATATATATATGAGGTAACAGTAAATATAGAACATGCATAAGATTTGGTGAAAATGAGGATGCTTGTGAATATTGTTGCTTACCCCACAACCAGTATCTAAAGCAGTTCTAACCATGCCATCAGATATAGGTATGACAGAAGCAAGTTGATCGATGTAAGCATCGGCTCCTTCAGGAAACTGTGTTCCTCCACCAGGAAACCTGAACACATTACCTTCATACTGAATCCAATTCTGCACAGCCTTCTCAATTGTGAGACTCTTATAAGGCGCATTGGCATATGGCACATAATCACGACTCTTAGGCCATGGAAACGGCGTCGCATATCCTTTGGGCGCAGGGATGAGGCAATGAAGCTTTTGTTCTGGAGGATAGCAATGTCTTTCTCTGTAATTCATGTTCTCTCGCGGGAATTTCATGGCTCGAGTTTGATCATGACAGGGCGTGAAATCACTGTAACGATCCTCACAAGGCTCAAAGTTTTTTATCGGAGCATCAGAATCATCATCAGGCGTGGTGGTCGATGCAGCAGTGTCACGATGAGTCTCGTAATTTAAATCAGAGAGAATGGTGCAATCTGTGTGTTTGGTAATCTCAGCGGCTATGCGGTCTCCTTTACCAGAACCACCCCGTCGCCAAGCACCAAATAAAAAGAAGCAACCACATAGGCCGGCGATGATCAGGATTTGCATAGTATTCCCTTGGTTTCTGTTGTCTTTCGTGTTCTCTTTTGTCGCCATGATCAATAATAGCTTTCTCTTTAATCTTTCAATCCAAATTGGAGTTCAGATCGCTACATATAACATGTGAATGCATATATAAAAATAATCATGAAATGGTATAAAACCAATCAAAGCGAAGAGGGAGGGAGGAGACTTACTGATCTGAGATTGAGAAATATCATCAGAAGAGAGGGAAGATGCTGATGTTGGGAGGGAATGAATCCATGAAAGATGAAGGATCAGGTTACTTGGGGTTCATGGGAAATGGTGAAGGAACGGGAAGGTGGGGGGAGCAAAGTGTTTGTGTTGTTTGACCCGAGTTTTATGTAGTTAGTGGAAACCGAGGTGATATTGCGACATGTACGAAGACGCACGAACTTGTGAAATGTGGGTCCCTTTGTTGTTCCTCTCTCTTACCTTTATTGGTATGAAAGTTCCTTCGAGTAGTTTTTGTTTTTTTGACCAGCTCTTCTGGCAGTTACATGATATTTTCCCTCTTCAATCACAAACATCCATTTCACACATGTTGGAAACCAACTGCAAAATAATAATAATAATAATAATAATAAATAAATAATAGAAAACAGAATAAAAGAGAAAGATAAAAAGAAACCAACCTAAGTTTAACAGCTTAGGTAATTTAAAAAAAAATAGAGATCTACTATCATTAATTTATTCTTTTTAAACTTAATTCTCTCTTTGTTTATCTCAATTATGGCTGAATTTAATTTCAATTACAAAGAAGGTTTTGATCAAAAATTTCTTACTTTAGAACTTTATGTGCAATTTGTCACTTTACAAATCTTGGGACTAAAAAAATTAATATAACCATGTGAAAAAAATTTTAATGACTTTGAGTCTGAATGAAAAATTCAAACTTCCAACTACGTTACTCGGCTTGTTTAAAAAAAACAAAATATTAAAAATTGAAAACGTTGTGGATTGGATACACCAACTCGGCTATCTCCACGTTGACAAACAAAAAGGTAACATTTTTAGTAATGATTAAAATAAGACGCATGATATTCCATCACCTGTCTTGATTTGAGGTGGCTTTATTCTTCTGAATAACCTAACATTCTTTACCTTTGAAATTTCCCATCTCCTACACGTTGAGCTCATTGCTTCTGGCCTTCTATTAACTCTGTTGACCCATGCATGGGGCTTTCACTCATATATGAAGTTATCCATGTCACATCCTTCAACTCTACACCAAATCTTCACTTTTATAGGACGAGCCTTTGAGGATCTTCACCCTCTTCTTTGACCAAAGCTTCTAACAACGTCTCAGTTATTTGTCAAGGAAAATCTATTCACTGTCATGTTTGTTTCCCCCCTTTTATAGCAGATATTCATTGTCATGTTGCTGGGCTTGGTTTAGACAGGAATGTGAACATATCTAGTTCTATTAGTATTTGTTTCCTGTGAGCTCCTTTACTATCACGAGACATTCACGTGTCATGCACGATGAAATTCCCAAGAAAATGAAGGGTACAGTTAATTCATAGTTGTTTGATATCTGGACTCGTAAATGATGCAATATTTTTATTCAGCATTACGCTTTTGAATCACATTATAGATTTTTTTTATATGATGTGGGCTTCAGCCCAATCATGTAATTATGGTCATTCCATTGGTTGGACGAGCAAACTTTGGTTTTGGATCCTCACCCAAAGCTTACTGCTACAGAATGGGTCATCTTTTGACTTCTGAGAGCCAGTTTTCACTACTCTCATTTGATTTCTATGCAAATCTATACGTATAAATGAAATGGCAGAGTTTAACATATGCCTAATAGGGATTTAATTTCACGGAATGCTATGAGGGCGAAGTTTATGGAAAAAAACTGAACCTTTGTATCACAGGCGAGAGATTTTCTCTCCAGAACAGGATAAGGATGAAACGGCTGGAGAGAAAAAGATGTGTAGCCGTTGGGATAAACACCATAGTGCCTTCTCCGGTTCTCCCTGCCGCTGCAACGTCCGTCTAGTCCCCACCTCCCAGTCGGCGTCGACCGGCAACATCAGACATTCAGACAGCCAGCTTTTGCAAGCATCGATCTCATTCCCAGTAAATTAAGGTATGTTTCTGCCTGTCTCCTGCGAGGTTTTCATCCTACTCAAGATCCTTTGGGGGTGGGATTGAGAATTTAACGCAAAAATAAACAGTTTTGGGAATTCAAAAAAAAAGGAAAAGGAAAAGAAGGCGATTTTTTAGGTTCTATTAGTGCAGTCTTTCTTGAGCAAAACTTTATGTTTTCGTTAATTTCTCTTCACAAAAGTTCAGCTTCTCTCTTCATTCCTGGTCTGCTTTTTGTCAATTCCATTGCTGGCATTTTACTTTTATCCCTTGATGGTAAGACTGCAATTAACTTCATAGAGAGTGAAATGCATTTGGAGAAGTCTAGTTATTGCTTACTTTCTTTCAATTTGTTGATTTAATTTTAGACGTTTTTTCGGGTTTTGCATTGGTTGATATTTAGGGGGAAAGCTTGTTTGCCATAGCATAAAGAAGCAAGCAAGCAGGCTTATGTCCTGCTACCGAATGATTTTCTTTTTTTATGTACATACAAATGCAAGGAACCGCTTATGTTTGGTTGATGGATTTTATTTGATTATTAGTCATATAATTATTCGTAATGTGTGTGCCATCTTGGAATGAGTCTTACTTTACTTCATAAAGACGTTGCTGCTGTTGTAAGATCTCAAAAGGACCGCCTTAAAAGCACTTGAAATCTTCAACTCAGTGAAAGATGAAGATGGATTCAAGCACACATTATTCACTTATAAATGCATGGTTGAAAAACTTGGTTTCCGTAGGGAATTTAAGGCAATGGACAACTTCTTTAGGAGATGAGATTGAATATTGATAACAGCTTATTGGAGGGGGTGTTTATTGAAGCTATGAAGAACGTAACTATGGGAAGAAGGGGAAGCTTCAGTAAGCCGTAGATGGACTTCTACAATTGTGAGCCATTTGTTCAATCACTTAATATGATCATGAATATACTGGTTGAGCAAGGGTATATTTTCAATCAAGCCCACAAGGTATACTTGAGCATGAGAGATAAAGGGATTGCTCCTGATGTAGTACAAGCAAGCCTCATGCTGCTTTGAGGCTTCTCAATAAACATGCCTTCCCAGGGGTCTGATTGCAATGCAGTAGCATATTGCACAGCTATTGCCAGATTTTATGAATGCAATCATCCAGTTAAAGGATATGAATTGTTTCATGAAATGCTCATCCAATGTTTATGTTCTGATATAGCTACATTCAATATAAGCTTATTTACTTTGTAAGAAGGGTGATGTCCTAGAAAGTGAAAAACTTCTTGACAAGGTTTTAAAGAGGGGGTTTCTCCTAATTCATCCACTTTCGACATTTTTGTTTCAAGGACTTTGTACGAAAGGTGCTCTTACCAAGCCTGTCAAATTATCTAATAGTGTGTCTAGGCAAGGCCTAACTAGTTCCCGATGTTGTAACCTATAATACATTAATTTGTGGATTGTGTAAAAATTTAAAGGTTGTGGGTGCTGAGAGGTATTTGCACAAAATGGTTAATGATGGATTTCAGCCTGATGGCTTCACCCATAATAGTATTATTGATGGATACTGCAAAATGCAAGGAATGTGTTGAAGGATGCGATCTTCAAGGGATTCATACCTGATGAGCTTTCCTATTGTTCCTTAATTAATAAATTATGCCAAGATGGTGAGATAGATCATGCCATGGCTGTTCTTAAAGACGCACCGGGAAAAAGTATGAGGCCTAGCATTATTATTTACAATACCTTTCAAAGGTATGGGTGAAAATAGGCAGGGTAGAGCATGATTTAATCTAATAGGTCTGAGCTTATATGATATATCAGAAGCTTGAATTTGGCCTTAAACCTATATAAGGTTTTTACGCATAACTTAAGCTTGAGCCTATTTAAAGTTTGACTTGACTTAAAAACTTATTTAAAAATTTACTTAAATGTATGTGGGCTTTTTGAATAGGCTTACATTATAAGCCTTAAAGATCTTATATAAATTTTAGGACTATTAAACCTTTATATATACAAGCTAATTTACCACTAAAATACATAATAAGTAAGGGGACTTATTAACTACAATACAATATAATAATGACATTAAATTCAATACGTGCATATGTCAAATATAGCTGAAAAACATAAACAAGAAAATAGAAATGAAAAGGAACATATTGATAAAAAAAATTAGGTGATGAAACTGATATATTATAAATTCATCATGCAAAAAATAATAAAAAAAAAACATAGGCAAGAAAGAACTACCTAATGCTTTTGAGTTTTGATCTAAAAGAAGAATGAGAAGATGATGAAGAAAGAAGGTGGAAGTGATTATATTCAAAATTTAAAATTAAATATTATATATATGTAATGTATTATATAATAATATACATGTAAATAAGCTAACCTATAAAGTTTGTAGGTTAAATCCTATAAAAATAGGCATGGCCTACTTATTTAAATAGGCTTAATGATAAAATATGGATGAGATTTAATTACTTTTATTTAGAAATACTTTATTAGTATTGTTTTAATAAGGATATTGAATATCCATTAAATTATTTAGGGTTTATTAGATTTGATTTAATATTCAAGGTTTAGTATTATTTTATTTAGTATCTATAATTTATTTTTTATTTAAGTATTATCTCAAATAAAATAGGATATCTGAATTAGTTAGATACCTTTTTTTTATCTTTTAAATTATGATTTGATTTAAATTTAGATTTATTATTATTTTATTATTTCTAAAGCTCTATAAATAGTATTAGAATTTTTCATTTGTATTCAACTTTAAGTATTATTGAATAGGAGTTTTCGAGAATTTTAACCTTTTCCTTCCTTCTTTTTCTTTCCCTCCTCCTTCTTCTCTCTGTTCCTCCCTTCCCTTATCATTTTACATCACTTAATCAAAGGCTTAAATCTATCTTGGCTTGTGTAGTATATAGGTTTGGCATAGCTTAAGGTAGGCTAGCCTGCAGGCTTTTGATAAGAGTTTGAACTACTTTCATCCCTAGATTCAAAGGGCTATCTCAATTGGGTCTTGTTTTGTCAACTTTGTAACTAATTAATGAGATGTTAGAAAATGGTCGCTTTTCTAATATATGAACATACAATTTTATTTAGTTATAAATGGCTTGTGCAAGATGGGTTGTATATCTAATGCCAGTAAACTCATGAATGATGCTATATGTTGATGGGTGTCTTCCAGACATATTTACATTCAGTACTTTGATCGACGACTATTGTAAATAAT